TAGAAGACATAATATATATATCATGTATATATATGTAACATATATACATAATATATATAATATAAGAATATTATATAAGAAAAAGCTTGTGTGGCTATAACCAGCAAAGTAGATTTTAACACAGTAAATAGAAGTGATAAAATGCAAAGTTTCATAATGATTACAGTAGCAATCCAACAGCAAAATATACCTAACTTTGTATATGGTTAATATCATTATAGAAACATACACACATAAACATACTCACAAAAGAGGTGGAAAGAACTAGAAGGGGAAATTGATAAATCAACAGTGAAATCATAGCTGGATATTTTAACAGTCTTTCAGCAACTGAAGAGCAGAGATTTAGAAAAATCTAAATAATATAGAATATCTGAACATAAGCAACCCACTTGTCTGCACAGTAAACAACATCCACCAGCTTTAAGTATAGTTTTATTTCTCAAACTAATATGAAACATTTACCAAAATGAACAATAAGAGGATGTCAAGAACAAATTTATCTCATACATCTGAAAAAGTAGAAGAGATAGACACATATTAAAAACACTACAAACAATCTAAGAAGGAATATAAGGTTATAGTAGTCATACAATACCATATGATCCAATAATTCTGCTATTGGATATTCATGCAAAGAAAGTGAAAACACGAATTCTAAAATATATATGCACCACTATGTTTATTATGCACCACTATGTTTATTGCAGCATTATTTACAACAGCTAAGATAGGGAAGCAATCTAAGTATGCATCAATAGACAAGTGAATAAAGAAGTAAAGAAGATATATATATATCTCTCACATCTTCTTTACTTCTTTATTCATATATATATATATATATAATGGAATATTACTCAGCCATAAAGAAGAATGAGATTTGCCATTTGTGACAACGTGGATGGACCTAGAGGGTATTATGAAATCAATCAATCAATCAATCAACCAAAGAAAAACAAATCAGAAAAAGAAAAACATATACCATATAATTTTATTTATATGTGGAATCTAAAAAAACAAAACGAATAAACAAATAAAAAGCAGAATCAGACCTATAAATACAGAGAACAAACTGATAGTTGCCAGAGGGGAGGAGAGCAAGGGGCTGGGTGAAAAAAGGTGAAGGGGAGTAGGAGATACAGGCCTCCAGTTATGGAATGAGTAAGTGATGGGGAGAGGAGGTACAGCATAAGGAATAGAGTCAATGATACTATAATAGCATTGTGTGGTGACACACAGCAGCTACACTTGTGAGCATAGCATAGTGTATAGACTTGTTGAATCACCATGTTGTACACCTGAAACTAGTGTAACATTTTCTGTCAACTCTACTCAAAAAAAAAAAAGAGGGAGAAAAGAATTTTTAAGAGAAATTTAACAAAAACATAAAAGAATTATTCTTCAGTTACATAAATGATCAATTTTACCTCCACCATATCTTCTAAATCTATTCACTTTTCTTCGTCTTTACTGCCCTGATCCTAGTTCAACACACAGTCATCGCTCCTTTGGATTACTGCTATTCACCTGATTTACTCATATTTATTTTTGCCACATGGAATCTGCTCTTTTCATTGCTGCTATGTCCTAATTCTCCTTAAAAACTTCAGTGGTCCCTTATTATTTTAGCATAAATTTGCTTATAAGTCTTTGGCCTCTGTTGTTAGCTCAACAGCTCTATATCACATTGTATTTCATTTTCCACCACTCCTTAGGGCTCCAGCCACATTTATCCTCTTCTATTACCTGAAATTTAACATGATCCTCTTGTTTCAGAATCTTAAAGTTCTTGGAATCCTTTTGCTTTCTGTCGTCCCCATTATCAAACAAACACCATTGTTAAGACCTACTCCAAGTGTGTCCTCAACACAAACTGGTGTTTCTTCTGGAAAACCTTCTCTGACACCAAGACTAAATTAATTCTCCCCATTATATGTTATCATAGCTCTTGGTGTTTTTGCTTTAAAGAACTTCTCCCAGTCTACAGGTATATATATGTAAGATTCTTTATTTAGTGTTTTATCCCCTTGTCCCAACTAGGTCACAGTTTCCATGTGAACAGGGACCATGACAGTTTATTGATCATTCTATGCCTACCATATTTTGTAAACACAGTAGGAACACTATATATATATAGTGTTATATATATATATATATATATGGTGAATAAGTACTTTCTCCTCTAAGCATATTTTTTTAAGCAGGATATCATAACCACAGAATTTAGAATCCTCTGAAATGTTGTAGTCAAGAACAATTCAAACACTAATAAAGTTTCCCACTTTTTATAGGGCCATTTTGGTTTCATAAATGAATATATTTTTCTGTTTATGTAAGATCTCAGGTATTATTGATAGGAAACATATCTCTGAATTAATCTCCTCTCCAACCATTTGGGATTTAATATCCTAGGACTTCTCCTTTCTCTATGGGCCATTCTCTCTTCATGTCTCCAAGGGAAGTCTATTATCTTTAGATCACTGAGCTGTTTACTACTCCCCATAAATTCAAGAAGCTCATAATTTCTGTGCCATGTGTCAGCTGAAAACATATCCTCACTTCATGTGTAAAGCTCCTTTCTCAGAGTGTTGTGTCTTTTTTCCAGGTAGGAAAACCCTGCCATTGCTGGGACCTCAGACTGTGAGTCTCTGCTCATAAACACAGTTGAGTACTGAAACCTTGGCTAAATCCAAGGGTATCCAATGGCTGGCTCATCCTTGACTTTTTCTTAGGTAGTTTTGGCAACATCTTGCACAAGAGATGGACACTTTGCTCTGCCCCAGCAGGAAATAGAGACTTGGAGAAGCTTTTTAAGGGGGTTAGAGCTAGAATTAGAGAATGGAGCATTGTTTGTTGTTCTATAAATTACTTCATCTATAAAACAGCTACCAGATTATCTTCAGGGAGAATATATTAACTGTTTTCCATAGTAGGATCATATGCCATGTCCTGCTAATCTCTAACTGCTAAAAAATATTTAAAACACTATTTCCTTTCTGTGAACTCAAATCTGCTCCTTCTCTTAACTGGTTTGCCCTGATATCAGTCAGGGGGAACATCAAAGATCCAAGGCTGTGTCTTTGGTAGGAGGATGTGGAATAATACATGACTATTTGGCAAAGGTACCAGGCCTCATACACTCAAGTGGGTCACACACTTCCAAGCTCTCAAGAATGAGCCAGGAAGCTGAAATCCTCAGAATTCTCACCTAAAAGTTCAAAGTCAAACTAGCTTCATCTCCAAGCCTGTTTGTGTCTGTTTTGTCACAATTTGCTGTGAATGCATTTAGATGACTTTACTGTTCATCAAATTACATTACCATTAAAGAGGGACGATTTGCCCCATGATTAGGCAGTACATGTTTATCCAAACACAGAGGCAGCAAGAAATTTCTGGAAAAAAATTCATCCAGTTGTGAACAGGAATCATCTTGTGTTGGAGATAACACGTGAGAATTTTAATTTCTTTCAGATATATTTTTCTATATTTAAAAGTATTAAATCAGGAATAAATCCATAACTGTCTTATGTGTTATAAAGGAATTTAAACTTTATTTGAAAGAAAGTGTGAGCGCTTGGATTATTTTAAGGAACAGACTACCAGTTTTAGTACAATCAGATTGCTGCCAAAAGGAAACAAGCACAGAGAAAGGCAAATGTGACAGGTAAGGCTGCAGAAGCAGTGCTCAAGGGAAGGGCTGCCTCAGTGAAGTAAAGGGGAGGAAGCAACAGGACAAAGAAGTTGTTTGCCAACAGGAAAGGCTTGCTTGTTAGTTTCAGACTTCATTGTTTGTCTCCTGAACAGAATAAAAAATACATGAAAAACAACAGAGTCTAACAAAAGATAAGTCTAGTTTTGAACATGAGTCTGAACATACAGTGATAGTGTCTTCAATGTTATGGACAAACAATTCTTGTTTATTAAGGAAAATCAAATCATCTTATTACCTGTGCCTAACCCCTATATTTATATGTCTTTATAGATTCTCTAAAACTAAACTGGAAAAAAAATTTCTTTCTTTTTTTTTTAAAGATTTTATTTATTTGAGAGCGAGCGAGAGAGAGAGAATGAGCATGGGGGAGGGGCAGAGAGAGAGAGAGAGAGAGAGAGAAGCAGACTCCCCGCTGAGCAGGAAGCCCGACAAGGGGCTGGATCCCAGGACTCAGAGATCATGACCTGAGCTGAAGGCAGATGCTTAACTGAGCCACCCAGGCGCCCCGAGAAAAAAACATTTCTATGATTTTCTCCATTATGTGACTCTTGAAACCAACAAATTCAGTCCTGAACACTTCACTTTTCAAGCTATTCTTTTGACACATTCTCAGCAGTCCATACAAGTGAGATGTAAAAAGATAATAATAATTCCTCTTTTAATATGACCGACCATACTTATGTTTGCAACCTCCTAAGTCTATGATATAAAATTTTTGGAAGGTATATAAAACATTAGTGGACATCTATAGCAATGGTAATAATGTAGCTACAAAATTTAATCTCTCATAATTCTGCATTTAAAAAATATTCTTTGTTGTTAGCTAATAAAAATTTGAAGCAAGATTGAGACAAATATGAAGAAAACAAACACATCCACTTGATTCCACAAAATTTCTGAAGAGATGATGAAAGTTAAAAAAACAAAACAAAAACAAAAAACAACAACAAAAATCATATTTATGTAATGGTCCCAAATTGAGTTGGCTATGGACAATGCAGAGATTTGAGATGTATACTGAGTCATCCCTGAATAGTCAACAGTGACAATTGCTCCTTGAAAGTTTAACTTCAGAAGCCAAAGCCTCAGAATGTCATAATTTATCTTAAATTGCTGTAAGGAATGGACTGCAGAATTCATTTTGTTACAGTACCAAACTATACTATGTGGAGACATTATTTAAAATTTTGTTCAATAATTGTATGGAGACAGTTTAAAAATAATGTTGATGATAATTCTGTGCAGAAAAAGCAACTTTGAAAACCATTTTCTTTTTCTCTTAGGAAAAGATGTCTGCATCTCTGAAAGGCTCTAATAGCTCCAAATTCCAGGTCTCTGAGTTCATCCTGATGGGATTCCCAGGCATTTATAGCTGGCAACACTGGCTCTCCTTACCATTGGCAATACTCTACCTCTCAGCAATTGGTGCTAACACCCTCATCCTCATCACCATCTGCCAGGACCCTGCCCTTCAGCAGCCAATGTACTATTTCCTAGGCATTCTCTCTGTGGTGGACATGGGGTTGGCCACCACCATCATGCCCAAGATCCTGGCCATCTTCTGGTTTGATGCCAAGGTCATCAGCCTCCCTGAGTGTTTTGCTCAGATTTATGCCATTCACTGCTTTGTTGGCATGGAGTCTGGTATCTTCCTCTGCATGACTTTTGATATATATGTAGCGATTTGTCACCCTCTTTGCTATCCATCAATTGTCACCAATGCCTTAATCTTAAAAGCTACCATGTTCATGGTACTTCGAAATGGCTTGTTTGTCATTCCCGTGCCTGTGCTCGTAGCCCAGCATAATTATTGCTCCAGGAATGAGATTGAGCATTGCCTGTGCTCTAACCTAGGGGTCACCAGCCTGGCTTGCAATGACAGGAGGCCAAACAGCATCTGCCAATTGCTTCTGGCATGGATTGGAATGGGTAGTGACCTAGGTCTTATAATATTGTCATATACTTTGATTCTGTGCTCTGTACTTAGACTGAACTCGGCTGAAGCTGCATCTAAAGCTCTGAGGACTTGTAGCTCCCATCTGATCTTTATTCTCTTCTTCTACACAGTTGTTGTAGTGGTTTCAGTAACTCACCTGGCAGAATCCAAAGCTCCTTTGATTCCAGTTCTCTTCAATGTGCTGCAACATCATTCCCCCTTCCCTCAACCCTATGGTTTATGCACTGAGGACTAAAGAACTTAGGGCAGACTTCCAAAAGATGTTTTGTTTGAGCTTAGAAAAGAACACAAGGCACCAGTGATCTTCTCCATGATGTACATGATCTTCAGCTTCTTTTAGAATCGATGGTAGAACTTCAAATATTATAGGGCAAGTGAATGCCTTTGAGTTATCTTTTTCACATTGTAAAAGCATCTAAAAACAACAACAATAACAACAAGTACAAATTCAGAGTAGCTCCAAAATATTCCTAAGAGATGAATATATGCGGGTAAAGGAAGTACTTTCTACCAGACCAATGAAATGGAATACAAACTAGAGTTTATGAATTATGTCTCTCCCCTAAAATAAAAATGAATATAATAATACACATAAAATCAAAGAATAAATGAGTGGGAAATGAGTGACATATCATGATTATTCATTGACAGCTGTAACTTAGGACCAAAGTCTATCTGCCTGAAAAAGTTCATTCCAATAATGTGCATGAAGAGGCAGGAAAGGAAAACACTTCAGATGAATAAAGCCAAATCAGTTTATGGTGGGTCTCTGGATAGAATAAGGCAAGATGACCAAACTTGGATAAACAGAACCCAAAAGATACAGATAGGTAGGTAGATAAGAGGGGGAGAGAAGGCAAAGAGATAGAAAAGAGAGAATGAGAGAGAAAGACAGAGACACAGAAATATGGATGCACAGAAGGATTTATCTTTTGCTCCATTTTCCTCTCCGGATCTGCTCTCTGCCCTTCCAGCACTGTTCTGTATCCTGAAGGTCTGAAGCTCATACACTGTGTACCCTGGGCTACTCTGTTTCTAGTATCCTGTTAGGTTTTTCAATGGGAGTTACTGGCAGGAGACTGGAGTGCAAGAGGAGTTTGGGTTATTTATTCTCCCACCCATGAAGCACTTGCCAGGCAACCCATCTGCAATAGCTACAGCATGTATGGTTTACTCAAGAACATTTTTAAAGGTGTTTTTTTTTTTTAACTTTTTTTTTAATTTTAGAAAGAGAAAGAAAGAACATGAGAAGGGGGGAGGGGCAAAGGGAGAGGGAGAGACAGAATCTTAAGCAGGTCCACAGCTTAGCGCAGCTCAATCCCATGATGACCCTGGCTGGGATCATGAATCAAGCCGAAATCAAGAGTCAGAAGCTTAACAACCTGAGCCACCCAGGCACCCCCCAAGAACATTCTTTCAGGACAAGGAAGTGATCAAGTCATTATATTGGTCTCTAGGTACCAAGCATCACTATTTTTTTTAACATGATTTTTGTTTCCTTAACCTCACCTACAAATTGGTTAATGGCAACTTCATGAAATTCTCCTCAGATTCATATTTGTGTGTGCCTTTTGTTTCTTGCCAGGACCCTGCAGACTCTCGAGCTTTACCTGTACCTCCACCACCTCTCCTGCAACTACTCCTCTGCTGTGGCTAAAGAGGATGTGGGCAGTGTGAGTGGGTGGGATGCAGATTCATAATGGACAGACATAAAGAAGTCTGTAGAGCAGCAGGCGGATGCAGGATATTTATCCCAGTGAAAAATCTTTCCTTGATTATGCTGTTGTCTTTTCCATGATGCTTAAACCAATGAATAGCAGAAATAAGGCTTATCTTAATAGTGTCGTGAATTTCATTATGATCTGGGCTGGTTTCCACTCAGACCGTGATTAGAGTACTTCATTAAGTAGTTGGCATATCTATGGATTATCTCGGGAAAAATGAGGATTAATTTGAGGTATAGGCCTACCAATGCTAACAGCTCTATTAGACATTGTATACTGTCACTCATCCTCCAATTAGACATACAAGGTAAATTATATTGGTTCTAAGGTATAATAAAAATAATGTGAAGGATCTTCCTTATTAGTCCGGTTTCCCACACAAAAGGCAGAATACATTTTTGTATTATATTGTCCTGAAATATATCATGATTAAAAAAAGTAATTTTATGAGTCCATAGGACAGTTGGTATTTTTTCCTTGTCAGCCTTTAAATGAAAATAAATAAATTCAAGTTTCTGTGGTGGACCACAGATTTTCAAAATAAGCCATTCTGCTCTGTCATGGAAAAGAAAACCAAAACAGATGCCAAGATTCTGAGGACAGAAGTTGTCTGGGTGCATTGGTCACAACTCTTGGGCCAGATCAGGTCCCATGTGACATCCCATCTTGAGCAGCTCTGAAAGTGGTGTTTAGCCAGATTACTTTCAGAGAAGTTGTCCATTTCTAGTAACATTTCAAGCCTGTATCATAGATGTTCTTTAAATGGATGACATGGCTCCCGCTCAGATTTATTTTTTTTAAATTTTTTTATGGTTATGTTAATCACCATACATTACATCATTAGTTTTTGATGTAGTGTTCCATGACTCATTGTTTGTGTATAACACCCAGTGCTCCATGCAGTACGTGCCCTCTTTAATACCCAACACCAGGCTAACCCATCCTCCCACCCCTCTCCCCTCTAGAACCCTCAGTTTGTTTTTCAGAGTCCATAGTCTCTCATGGTTCGTCTCCCCCTCCGATTTCCCCCCCTTCATTCTTCTCCTCCTGCTACCTTTTTCTTCTTCTTTTTTTTAAATATATATTGTATTATTTGTTTCAGAGGTACAGGTCTGTGATTCAAGTCTTGCACAGTTCACAGCACTAACCATAGCACATACCCTCCCCAATGTCTATCACCCAGCCACCCCATCTCTCCCACCCCCCACCACTCCAGCAACCCTCAGTTTGTTTCCTGAGATTAAGAATTCCTCATATCACTGAGGTCTTATGATACATGTCTTTCTCTGATTGACTTATTTCACTCAGCATAACACCCTCCAGTTTCATCCACGTCGTTGCAAATGACAAGACCTCCTTCCTTTTGATGGCTGCATAATATTCCATTGTATATATATATTACTTCTTCTTTATCCATTCATCTGTTGATGGACATCTTGGCTCTTTACACATTTTGGTTATTGTGAACATTGCTGCTATAAACATTGGGGTGTACGTACCCCTTCGGATCCCTACATTTGTATCTTTGTGGTAAATACCCA